ATTCGCATAGAGAATCCATTTTTCATCACAAGGGCCATTTCACGAGTGTGTTGCCTTGGGTTAGACTCAAACAAGCGTCTTCAGACTATCAGTATCAGTTACAACATGTTAGTCCCTGCCATCACAGTTTTTAAGGCTAAAATCGCCTGAACGAAATTTGCTGAACCATTGGAGACACTTACGAACGTTCAAAACATTTCCATAAACATCTTTGATATTCTTTATGGCTACATAGTCGCTATTTTTCTTCTTTTATTCAAACAGCATTATATACCGAATGTGCGTGTCTCGTCATGTGCCATCACTATAAGAGATCAGAGTATACTAAACTTTACACATTATATAGGCTACCCTAGCGTGACGTTTACGCGGTTCGTTTAACTATTATACGTGATGTACGTTTTTTTTTTTGGGGGGGGGGTTAATAAAAATGTTCAAAAACGCGACATTTCTTGACGACCTAATATATTGCGAACCGTAGTGTTTGGAAGAGCATTCGTCTGTCTCCTGTTTGAAAAGCTGCGCTGGCAGGCAAAGCTCAACATTCATTTTGGAAAGGATGAGATAACAGGTATGAATAATGTTGATGCCAAATTTTATTTCACATGCATGATATTCTATATTAAATTGTTAGGAATTAATCACACTGTCATTCACATTTCAAAATTTGACGTAACTTAGAAAGAATAAAAATGTAGGTTTAGGATATGTTATTGTTGAGCGGCTCTTAGCATAACTGAAATGTTCAACAATTACTTTTTGCGGTGGGCGGTATAAGTAGCTTCAGAGCTTTGGCTCTGAGTGAAACCAAAAGTGCAATACAATTAACCCATTTAAAATCCATGAAATAATTTCAATTGATAGACTAACTTAAACTTTTCCTGTCACTGGGGACGGGTACTTTTGCTTGTTTCACAATAATGTCGTCGAGCTTTCAATTCGATTAAAGTTAGAGATACATTTAACTTGTCTCAGCAGTCTAATCTATGAATAATTTAATCCTGAATTTCTTGAAATGACAAACATCATATAAAATTAAGACCAATACCTCTATTGTTGCTAAAATTTAGAATATCACTATATGGTTGTGAAACAAAAACTCATCTTAGCATTAGATGTATATATCACACATTTGTTTTCTTTTTCACTAAAGGTAAAATTATCATAGCATTCTTTTATAAACTAAGAATTATCAGCGCATTCTTGCGAAACTGAAACTTCACATTATATTATTGTGTAACTATGACTCCCATTAATTGTATCTATGCGAAACCAAAATTCATCATAGCATCATCGCTGAGCTAAAGACAACCCCTGCATTCAACAAAATTTTATGGGACGTATCTTCTTCCGTACTGGTCTCTGTCTGTTTGGCTTCTGCTTCACGTGGGGTTCATCTGCTCCATCGGGAAATATCATATTATTGATAACAGTCACATCAGTGGTAGTAGCTTCAACAAGGGCTTCACTGTTTCCCTTCTTAAAACCGGGTAAAGTTTCTTCTCTGAGAGTGGCTTTTTCAGGTGACACATCTTCAGCAGCATCATTTGTTCCGTTGTTTACTTCGTTCCAACTGAAATGTCCTGGACCATGATAACGCCAAAGCCTGTTGGCATGCACCACCTTTGGCTTACCTCACCGACCACATTTTATTCGGAAAGTCACGTCTTAGAGACGATCCACTATGTCATATGGGCCTTCCCATGGGGAAGACAACTTAGGAGACTTCCCTTTGGTCTTCCTGGGATTATACAACCACACCTTGTCTCCTGGTACAAAGATGACTTCAGCAGATCTCTTATCATAACATAGCTTTATGGAATCAGTAGACGTTTTCAAGTTTGAACGCACTTGATGATAAATATCATCCATCCTTTCAGATAACACTTTCACAAACTCTGACACATTTTCAGGAAA